TAAAGGAGCAGCAAAGCTGCCTCCCATAGACATACCCTGTCATTAATTTTTCTCCCTGAGGCTCATTCCTCTGCTGCCATTTGGTACTTCTTTCTGAGGCTGCAGATATCATGTTTCTGAAAGGCAGAAAACTCAAAATACGCCAAAGGGCCAGCTTTTAAGTAAAATCACACTCCCCAAGCAGTTTTCTCTTTCTTCCTCTGGCTTCCTATCTGTTTTTGTTTGCCTGTTTAGGTAGTGAGCTCCTGACATACTGACTTTCCTCTTCCTCTGCTAAGCGAGTGACAAGTTAGTCAGTGACAGGATACACATGGGGCCACCTCTGCGCTGGGTATGGCTCAGTCAGTGACATCCCCAACACCTCTGCTTTGCCCTGCGCCCGTCTTACCTGGGGTGAAATGCCATCCTGCTCCATCGCGGTCCCTGCTAGGTGCACGTCCAGTGTTATCAGTGGCAGGGCAATTTCACATCTCCCAGCTTGTCCAGAGACACTGGTGGTTTAAATGTCTCATATGCAGGTGAGCAACTTTTTAATAAAGTGACTCAGAGCCCCACCTCTGCCTGATTTCTTATACGCAGCTGCTCCCCTCCCATTCTCTCACCCGAGGAAACTGAGTTCTATGGCAGAAGAAGTAGGAAGAACTGCCTTGGTCAATGCAGGTGTACAACTCAAGTTAAAGAAAGGATGCCATTTAACCTCACACTGTATCCTCACTCAGCAAGTCCCCAAGACCTGCAGGACATTGCAATAAGATGCAGCAACGGTATGTTAATTGTATTTTGGGTATCTGTGAGAGTAAGGAGGATGCCACAGCTAATGGAACCACTGCTCTCAGACTAAATTGGCTCTGGCAAAAGCCAGCTCAGTGGTTTCTGCGCTGCACAGCCCTGCTCTCCCTGGTCTAGAAGCACAGAGCAGAGATGCTCATGCAATGTTTTATATCTCCACAGCCTAAGTCCAGCAGGGCTGGATCTTTGCTCAGGTGGTCTTTCTTTTCCCCTTCCTTCCTATGACTTGTTATTACTGTTGTTGTTGTTGTTGTTTTTATTTAGACAAGTCCTGAAGCAATAACTTTCTTTAGTCTAGCTCTACCCCTACAAAAGTTTGTGTGTCCCTTCTAAGCTTGCACTGACTCTGGCCATAGTCTAGCTGTGCTTAAACACTTGTGCCTGACTCAATGAACCCTGCAATGTGGAGGCAAAATGCGGTGCCAGCTCTATGCTACCCTCTGCACTGGTGAAACGGCTCTTCTGCAAACCTGACAAACCAGCCACCCCTGCATGGCTGCAGCATGCAGCCTGGTCTGCACCCTTCTGCAATCTTCCATCTTCTAGTGGCACCCAATGAAGCCATGCTGGGGAAACCAGCACGGCTCGCAGCTCACCAGGAAAGGATTAGAGAGAGCGGTCGAAAACGGCCATAACTTTGACAGGTCAATGCAATTTCTGCAGGGAGGAAGTCCTTTGGCTTCCCTGTTGTCCTGGCATATTCTCGATGAGCAAAAAGATAGACGTTTCCTGAGCATTCTTGAGCTTAATTGTGACATATTATTACTAACCAGCTAAATTCCCCTTTGCGCATATCCAGTAATATCAGTGGTCATCTCGGTCAACTTGGTACAATAAATTTTTGCTATAGGCTATGATATTTCACAAGACTGTGAAGAATCATGTCTACATACATGGCATGTTTCCTCTATGTGCCAGCTGCAATTATATAGCTTGATGAAATGCACTTTTCATTAAGTCACAGAAGACCTTTGGCAACATCTGCATCCTTCAGTCACAGTTAGAGGCAATGCTTTATTACTGCACCTCCTTGGAGGACCAAATCATAAACTAGAGTGATCTCTAGCAGATTTCTCAGAGAAAGTTGCTCTTAAGGTGCTGCAGGCTGTTGAGTGTCCAGAGGAGCCGATCATGGGGCTGCATCATCCTGTTTCCAAAGGAATGAGAGCGAGTTTATGCCGAGCAGGTATGTCCAGTAGCTCAAAAAAAGTCTCCCAGATCAAAGGCAGGCGGTTTGCGTGTCCACCATGCAGCCCCAGAGCAATTAGGGCGATGAGTGTCCGGCAGTGAGACGTCAGCCGGGCTGTGACGCAGGCAGCTTCCCCGCAGCACGGAGCGCAGCGGAGCCGCAACCGCTCCGCCGTCTTCAGGAATCGTGTTTGTAATCCACATCAGAGACAGCCCTGGCAGGATTAGTGGTCTCACGGCAGGCTGTTTTGCAGAAATAGGTTTACTAAATGTAATTAAGCACACATATAAGAGCACATGCTCGATTCCGGTCTCACTGGATGTGTAGCTTCCTCACATGGCCCAGGGACATATATATTCATGGGAAGATCTCATGGAGGAGGGAGGGACTACAGTACCCTTTGCTCCCTGTGAAATCTGTGTCTCAGACTTTGTTTTTCACTCATCGTGCTCACCCCACGTATCTGGTACTCTCTTATGCTCTTTGCCTAAATAGCAACAGTTTTGTTTTTACTGGAACAAGGAACACACTGTGAAGCTAAAGCATGTTACTGAAATGCCTGAATAGGTGGAGCAAGACAGAATTCTAATTTTGCAAACAAGCCTTTATTGTGCAATACTGTATACACGAAATATTTGCATGTCACTAACATTTCTTCAGAGCTGAAGGTGGCATGAGATTATGGCCCCAGATTTTTTTGTTTGATTGTTTTTTGTTTGTTTGTTTGCTTGTTTGTTTTTCACAGCAAGGATTTCAGGCCCAATGGAGGCAATTCCCAGGGTAATATGCAGAGCACATAGCACCAGATTTCAGATTATCACTAGTGATAATCTGAAAAAAAAAGGAAATAGGAAAAAAATAGGAAAAATAGCAAAAAAAAACAATGCATAATTGTTCAGAACTGAGACTTCTAAGCATTAGGATTTATGTCCTGATCTTGCTTGCAACATTAAACACAATTAGTTGCACAAAATCTAAGAATTGTTTTGATGTCCCATGTGACAAAAGTGTTGGAAAAAGTCACTGTGAAAATTTTCTAAAGATAATTTGTCATTGTTTCTTGTGAAAATGAAAATCCTCAGTGTCATTTTGTACCAAGCCTAACATGTTATTTGGCTGAAAATGATCTGATTTTCAAGTCGAGTTCCCTGGGGAAGAGGTAGGTGATCTAATGAAAAAAACTTATGTTTCAAAAAAAAAAAAAAAAAAAGCTTTTTGGGAGATAATAATATGAAATGTTTCAACTTACTCAAGCACTTTCCCTGGTTTGTTAGCTCCAAAACAGGACAGTTAGTTTACCTGGTAACCCCTTTTTCATTGAATAAACTGTTTGTTCAAAAATTGTGCTCAACTGTCATTAGGACACAAAATTTATTCACACACAAAAAAGTTTGTTTTCAATTTAATTTGCTTCAGGAAATGAATGGTTGCAGATGGATTTATTCTTTTTACAGCTCATCCTCAGCACTCTTACCTGTCTAGAAAAGACATACTCCAGAAAAAGGGAATATAAAGCATCCCACAGGTTTTACTGGTATTTTTGTTGCTAGATACCATCATTTTAAGGTGGTCCGAACAGAGAAAGTTGCTCTTAAGGTGCTGCAGACAGACTAATTTACCCCTGCTTTGCATACAGTTTGAACAACTAGAACAAAACAAAGCATTTTGTTGGTAGGTTTATGTCCTAAAATGCTTTTAGAATTCAGTGGGTTAAACAACAGGATTTTTTGATGTGCAGTGGAAGCAAAATATTTTCTTTTCAAGCTCTCTCTCTCTCTCTATTTTTTTTTAATTTAATATTTTTTAATTTAAAAAAGGAAGTTTTTTTATGATAAGTAATTCAGCCAGGGAAAAGATAGGGTGTTTTATTTTGAAAACTTCATATAATTTCTTTCTTCTTTTTTACATTCTTTCTTCTTTCTTTTTCATATACTTTCAATACAAAAAAAGCATAACTGACATAAATTCAGAGATTATTTTGATTAATTTTTTTTGATTTGTTCAAATTATACCTTTCACTGGAACAAAAATTTCATGTGAAAACTCCCGTGTCACTTCCTCCTACTTTCCTTGCATATATTATTCATTCACAGTCCAAAAGGGCTCAGGAGACAACAAGCCTCACAGATCTGGCTGCGTGCGCAGACTTTTGTCCCTATAACACTGCTGACTTCTTTGGTTTCTCTTCAGGGTACTTGCTAAATAAGTCATCTCAGGGATCCAACGCCAACTCTCAACTCTAATACTCTGCTTCTTGCTGTCTGGGTTGTGCCCTTGAACACATAGCTCTTTGGGATGCTCTGTGATATTACACCCTTAGGTTTACAGCATGAGGAACAAAGCCGACAGGCCAGCAATGGTGTCTTTCCATGTGCCCTTCCCACCCTGGTGCACACAGGTAGGAAGAAGCTCTGCTGTGGCTCATGCATCTGGCTTTTGCTGCAGGTGGTATCAAGAGATGCCCAAGCAGCAGGGGAATTACAAGCAGGAAGGAGAAGAAGAGAGTCATTAGGGAGATGGTCAGCAATGCAAAGCAGGTTAAAAAGGGAAATAGAAGTATGTCAGGTTTTCTTCGTTTTCCAGGTTTAGTTGTACGATGTGTTCAATTGAATAAAATTTTAGGAAGAAGAATTTCATATCCTCTTCTTATGGCATATAGATGTGTTAGCTGCATTGAGTTACTGTAGCACCTTGGTGTTATAAAATATGTTTTCCTATATGTCATGCATGATATTAAATTAGACTTAAAATAACACTGTTTTTAAAATCTAATATGGATTTTAGGTAAAGTGTATTCTACAGACAACCTTAATTTAGAGGATAAATCCTATATGAAGATTTCATAGGCAATGTCTTTTATTGCCTAGAAAGGCCACCTTATGAGAATGAAAAAACCCCACTGAGCCTCCTGGGGTAATTTCTTTCTGTAGTGCGAGCAGCCAGTGTTCAGAAAGCTTTGCTCCTTCCATGTGCTAGAGCATAAGAAACTCCTCCACAACAATCCAGGCAGTTGGATGGGTGCTTAGCACATGTTTTGTCTTTTCCGTTGCATTGCCATCTGCAGCGCCTGCATGATCACCTGAGAGTTATTCAGGATATTGTATTCGCTGAGGTTTAGCAGCCGACGATAATTCTCATCAGAGTATCTGACCGAGAACATGCGATAGGGGGAAGTGCGGCTGGTCAAATCAAGCTGTCCTCCCTCCATCTCTGAGCAGGAACGCTTTACACCTGGAGGAAAAGACAAGTTGTTGCTGTGACGTTGAGCTTATCTTAGCCAGTGACAAGCTGTTGGCCTTACCTTGAATGGCGGCGTTCTCTGTGGACCCTAGTTGAGAGAGTGGAGTTGCTAGTAACAGAATAGCATTTAAGCAAGAAAGGAGAAACAGAAACATGTGAAATCTTAAAGGTCCTACAATCTAGACTGCAGTCTTGGGGCACCAGCCACCTGCAGTCATCTCTGCATTTGCATTTCTGCTTTCACTGATTCTGGGTGGGCAAAACAGCGTTTGGTCTTTACCTGCCTGCACCCAAGAAGTAAATGCATCCTCACAAAAGGCAGTAAAGGAGAAGAATACCAAACAGCTGACTATGTCAAAAAATAAAAATAACAAAAATAACAACAGCTCCCGCTCATAGCACAATAAGCAAAATGACAGCTAGGATAACTACCAAGGAGACACACATTAATTTTGACACTCCTGAAAGCCAAGTTCTTGCTCTCTCACTATTCACACATGAGACTGTGTCTCTGCAAATCTAGCATTGTACCCCTGGGGCAACATACAACATACACATGTGAAAACAGATCCGAGTGAGCTATACTTTTCCTAGGAAAAATGTTTACAGTAGCTGGCAACATTTTATCCTATCGGTGGACAGAGCTGAAGGCAAATACCGTTCGAGCAAGGGCTGTATCTCTCCTCCCTAGGGCCAAAGATGACATGAACGAACATAGCAACTTTGGCAGAGATGGAAAAAGGAGGTTTAATCAGCTAAAGTGATCCCCCATTAATCTAGGCAGCAAAAAGAGCCAGCAGTGGAGAAATAAGGCTGCAGCCAGGGAAGCTGGCAATGGTGTCCTTTCTTTAATGTTTTTCCACCACTTAGAACTTACCGGGTGCTTTGTACTCTCGGAAGGTATCATTCACAAGTGGAAGAAAAATCACAATAGGACATCTTGGAGAATCTGGATCTTGGAAGAGGTAGCACTCCTTTAGATTTTTCTTCTCTTCATCACTCAAAGAAATTTTGGGGAATGGGATTTGCTGTTCTGAGTAGTATTTGCAGGTTTTGTCCAGAGTCTGAAATACCACAAAAATGACCAGCGTTAGAATTCAACTCGGCCGCCTTAAAGCCCAAGAATCATTATCTAGCTTTAAGATTTAGTGATTCAGATCCATGGGGACTCACAAAGGAAAGACCCTGTGTTTAATATTTATAGAATTAATCATAAAAGAAAACAACAGTAGGAGAATATTTAAGAGAAGTTATGTGATAGGAAGATTTTTTAATCCAAAAAATAGCCTCTCTGAGGTACTAGGCTACAGTGTGCCTTTCTCCTGAAATGTTTGGTGGAACACGATCTTCTTGCATTATGTATTGTGCTATTTACTACACAGCATTTAGTAGCAGGTACCATTATTAGGAGACAGTTTCTATTATATTCTCAATCCCAGCAGCCTGTCTTCAAAAATTTAGCCTAATCTCAGCTATGCGTAAAGCTGAAATGAAATTTGATTACAGGTCTTATGTAGCATATGGCTTATAATAAAGCGAGCTATTCTCACTTATAAACATAATTGCACCCACGCTGGCCAAGATGGGTAAAATTAAGTTTCTAAACAAACTCAATTTCTGAGGTATAAAGACTCAAACTTCCTTTCTGCAGAGTTTTATAGACAGCTAACTAGCTTTATCTCCATGAAATTTGGATTCTGCAGGAAGGTGCTGATCTTCCCTGTAGCACCTCAGTTCCCAGGCCTAGTAATGTTCTGCCCTGACTATCCATCTAACATCTTTTATATTCTAATTTAAGACAAGAAATCAATTCTCATATTTATGAATGTTCTTATGCAGGGTCTGGTAACTTGCTTGATTCAGCATAAAGAGTAAGAGTCTCTTTCCATCATTCTGGAAGAAGAAGGACAGACAGCGCATCATAACATGATCCTTCTCACCGATGAATGTGATCCAGTAGTGTAACTTAAATATATGAAGACATCCACTTCCCTCTGTGGCCTTAAAAGCGGTGCACTGCTGGTGTTGATGAAAAATCCAGCATCTATCATGCCCAGGTGATTAGGATTTTGCATCAGCTGATTAGGACGTGTGTCTAACACAGTATCTGAAAGGAAAATATTTCTTGGCGTATGAAAAAAATTGTCGATATTTTGATGGAAAAAAAATGGCTGAACTGACTATTCCAGACAGCTTAATCTTAAAAAGACTGTTTTAATGAACTGTGAAATAGTCATGGGAGGGAATTGAAGAGGCCATCTAAGTCTACCTCTCTACTTCAAGGCAGCGCTATACAGCATTTCTCATAGATTGTCTAGTCTATTCTTAAAAATATTCTATGCTGAGAATCACATCATCTATTCCAGTAATTTGCTACAGTAATTTGCTAAAGCAAACACATGCTTATATTTAAAACAATATTTATATGCTTGACAGCACTGAGTTCTTAGTTTCTTCTCCCTATAGAAAAAAAAATTCCTTTGGGAGATGCAAGCAATCTCCTTCCAAGTCTTACAAGTTTCCTTCCTAAATTCTGCTCAAAACCATGTGAAATTTATGCCTGTTAAATAGTAGTTCCTCTTACCTTTCCAGCGACAGAAGTGTTCATTCTCAAGGTAGTTATTATGCAGCTGATAGCCCTTCAGGAAATTGTGGTGCTGGGCGACTGAGAAGCGGTCAGTTAGAGCACCTCGAAGAGCATTAGAGAGGGGACCGGGAGGTGTGTATGTGCGAGTCCTGAGCTCGTGGGGCCTTGTAGGCAGTACTGGGTCTTCATCTAGGGGAGAAAAATTGGCAAACCGTTTGTTAATTCATATTAGTTTCTGGTTGGCCTAGTACTTAAGAGATCGCAAAGTGCATTCTGAGAACAACTGTACAAAAATATTTTTGATAGAAAGTGCTGATGGAAAACAGCAGCTGCGTTAGAAAGCTTTGTTGATGGTCTTAAGCTTTAGCCTAGAGATGGTTCATTGGAAGCTATGTTTAGTCTTGGAAAGGGGATACCTTAATGGAATTAAATCATTCGATAAATTTCCAGTGAAAAGGTTTTCCTCAAGGAAAATATCACAAAATAGAGACAAGCATAAAGAAAAGGGGGGGAGTGTAGAGCATACCCTTCCACTCAGCCAGGTAGGCAACAAAAATGCTCCATAAGATCTACAGTACCACTGAAAGAGTCTACAAAGCAATGAGTAGATGCTCTATAGTTACATGAGAATTTGCTTTATCCACCAAACAAATACATTCCAGGAAAATGTAGAAAATATATCCATACTTAGAAACTATGTGTACTTTTCAGGGTGACTGCACAAGAGCATATCTGGGTGAAAGGCACAAGTGGCACAAGGTGTGGTTTTCTGAAATCACAACCTGCTTTGCCAGACCAGGTAGCTGACAATGCAACAAGACAGACTTGGTATTTTCCAACATTGCGCAGATGTATTTCTGTATTTTCGGGATGCCTGTAATTGCAGTTACCATCCTGTTAAATGATTTAGCAATAAAGCTCTGGTTTCTATATTGCTTCAGAAAATAGCCTCCGGGCCTCATATGTCTTCATGCCAGGACGAATCCAACACAGTAATTACTCTACTAAGTAATAAAATAAAATTTCAGGAAATATCAATTAGCCAATTGATATTCAGGTTTATTCTCTGTATGATCAATAAAATAACTTTATTTTCCACTGCTGAGTTTTTGTTCTATATGGTTGAATCAGAAAGGACAGTCACAACATTTTCTGAGACATGTGAGACCCCCACAAAGCTTGCTCTTAATGACAGTGCATTTTAATCTGAAGAGTTCTAGTAAGTATAATTATTACAGCAGTATTTCCATAAGCCTACACACTGGGAGGAGAAGTCACTAACTTTTAAGAGGATCCTACAACATTGCCTTTAAATTGGTCAAAATGATAATACAGAAAGGCATCACCATAAGTGAAAAGTTTAAAAATTTCTCACCGACATCTTCTATTCTGTCTTGGGTCCATCTCTTCCAGAAGTCCTCCGAACTGTGCGATATTCCCCATATTTGTAACAGATTCACAGAAAATATACTACTCCACATACCTATAAAGAGAATTAAAGAACACAAGAACACATTTTAACTATAAATCACCTTTTTTTTCCCTTGTCTTTCTATATCTAGGACTAATTTTTGAATCGGCACAATTTATATATTTCTAAATTTTAAAGTTGTTAAATTCCTCTTGATTTTCTGTGGTATTGGCTCTGACTGAAGAGTTAAATTCACACTGGAGTCAGTACAGTACTGCATGGCTCTGCTGCACTGTAAAAAGAGAAAAGAATGGGAGAGAAGATGCAAAAGACGCAGCTTTCATGAGCCCTTTTACAGAGTGATGCACTGGCTGTTTGACTGTTGGAATCACAAGTAAAAGCCTTGCACTTTAAATGGTATGAGACTCAAAGACTCAGCCAACTCCTTCTCTACTGCACATTCTTTTCCTCCATCTAGGATTATGTCCCTGTTACTTTCCCCATGACTTTGTTAGCAAAATATGAGAAAGAAAAATTCCTAGGAAATAATTTCTTCTTTCCCAAGAAATGGGGAAAAAAAGACGAGGATCATTTTTTAATGTGTCCTTTGGACATATTAGCACACACTCCCATCACCTGGGAGGTAACACCACATCAGTGTCCAGTATCTTAGACCAGAAAAGTCCACTCTGGTTCACAGCTTTGTACTTTACCAAATTGCTTCCATTCCAGGACATTGCAATACATCACCTTGAAGGTAGCATATTCGGGATTCGGGGAGTTTTTTTAGCATGCGTCCCATGAAAAACTCGCTTCCAAAATTCTCTGTACGAATGAAGGCTCCATACTTCAGCAAGCCCACTTCGTACGGGGTGAACTCCACCCATTCTGCAACACAACCACAGTGGCACTTAGCACGTTCTCAGTTTTTCAGCTGAGGGCAAAAAAGGAGGATGCTAGAGCATAAACCCATCAGAAGTGGAACAAACCTTCTGTTTCCGTCTTTGCAAAAAGTTATTTATCAACTACCACCTACAGGGGCAGGCTTTAGAAATGGTTTCATGCCACTGTGTTCTGGCATATGACTTTGGATACAGGGAGGCAAAAGCACTTATGTTTATGTTTATACATATGTTTATACAATGTTAATACTTCCAATTTATGGATACAGTTAACAGAATATAATGCATTTAATTTTCTTCCCTTTAATAATAAAATATGTACAACAGAGGTACTCATTTTTTTCAAAAGAGGCGTTTGATACAAGTGGCCAATTACGCTCATTCTGTGTGGTGCTAAGGAAGACAGAACCTTGCCTTGAATTTCTAGGATATCACTCAAGTGAAGTACAATTGTGTGATATAGTGTCAGCAAAGTCTGTAAAAGAAAGGTCATGGGCCATAATTTTCTTTTCAGTCAGAAGCGGTTCATTCTTTCACCTCAGCCATAAAAACCTGATTTGAATTTCTTCTCCTCCTCCTCTTCTCCTCCAGCTTCTTCTCTTCATGGAAAAATAACCAAAACAAGCAAAACAAAAGATTCACTTGGGACTACACTGGATGTTTTCCCAAGTTTTATCATAAATAAAACTTATAAATATTTTTTTTTTCATCTTTAAAATATATCAGAATTGGCAAAAAGCAACATTTAATTCTTGCAAAATTACAATACTTTCTTATTCTAGTTGGACCAGATAATATTTCAAAAATGGCCTTTCTGGCAGGATTTCCATTCAATCCATTTCAGAAAGGTGAAATGATGATCACAAAAAGTTCTTGTATTAAAATCACATGGCCTGAGGCAATGGCTATTTCTCCATAAAGCAGCTAACACACCAGGGCTGCTGTTTCAAAGCTCTACCAAACAGTGAAAAGCAAATCACATACACACACACAAACAAACAAAAAAACCCACAACTCCCCAAAACAGGAATTCCACTGGCAAAATTTAGCTTCACGGAACCTGAAATATCATCATTACCTTTGAAATCATGAGTGCTATAGTTGTCCCGAACACAGACTGACACGTATATGGGCAATGGGTTCTGACCCTCACACACTGCTGCTCGCTGCTCCGAAAGCTTGTGAGGATCTTTCTGGTTTTGAAGAAAAAGATTTACGTGAGGACACATGGAAATGATGCACAGTGAACCTGATTGAGCTTCACCTGTGGAATGACAGACCACTCTCCCCAGGGATCGAGCCTGACTTCACGCTCATTACTAAAAGGAGGAGAGGAAATCTGCTTCTGCATTTACTTCTAGACATACTCGAAAGTACTGCCCAGGAAGGCACTAGCTGCAGCTTATTATGACTATAGTAGCAAGCAGTGCTTGTTCTCCTCAGGGATGGAATCCCTTGATACCTCAGCATGGAGCTTCACTTCTCAGCTCACAAAAACGATCACAGTCTGGCCTTGAACAAGCCATTGGAACCTGGAAGTAAAATACTTGCAACTCATCTCCCATCTTTTCTGGAAAACCTTATTGCCATTGAAGAGATTTGTAAGAAATAAGAAATATATAAAATCTCACATATATATTTATTTATATATTTATATATATGTGTGACATATATATATAAATGATTTCAATAAACAATTTTGTCTGCACTAGAATATATATGTTGTATGCTCATCAGCCCTTTTTTCCCACTTCCTGAATGACAAATAAACCGTTTTTGAAGTGTAATCTAACTGGAGAGAAGAGGAAGTAGACCCCTATACTTCAAATAATATAAAAGCAGATGTCTTGCTTGTAAAAATTAATACTTCTTAAACCAGCTACTCTCTGACCAACCTTTGTCTGCAAAAGCAGAATATGCACTTGCTACCAGTATACCTGCACCTTGAATTACATGTCAATGGCTGCAAATGGACAGTAAGCACTCTAGTCGTTCCTTACTGACGCTGGCTTCAGGGAGTTTTCATACAGCTGAGATTATTCTGCTTTGCATCTTAAACTCTTCCTCCATATACAATTTGCATTTCATGCAGACTGGCTCAGCCTGCCTCCAATTTCTATTTAAATCCAGCAAGAGTATAATTACACTTTCCAAATGGCTGCATAAATAATGTAGTTTATTAACATGGAATGTATTTCTCTACATCTAAGCAGTCTATTGAAGAAAAGAGAAAAGTCTAGTGTTTAATGATATGGAGAACTATGATGGGCTAATACTCATTTAAAAAAAGCAATTTTCTGAGAAAATGAATATATATCATACCCCATCATTTAGTAGATATTCAATCATGAGCCCCCAAAGATCTATAAACGAAGTCCTGTATCCGTCTTTTTTCCTCTGACATAACTGCTTGTTATAGTACTTCATGCGATCCATAGAGAAACAGCTCATCTTGCATTTGGTTGCTTGTTTCTGAGCTTCACCAATATGCCAGTCTAGGTCCTTCTGTGACCAGTAGGCATCTCTGTATAAGCTGGCCATGGTCCTGGAGAAAGATAATACAGACAACAAAAATAAAAAGGAGCAAAAGAAGACTTTAAATCTGCCTTCAAGGACAGAGCTATACACTCGGGTATAGGTTACTATTCATGCTTGTTTTGTTTTTGTTGTTTTCTTTGAGAGAGTGACCTCTCCAGATTTTTTTATGGGTGTTTTACCCATAAACAGGGGTAAAGAAGAAGATTACAGTATATATTTTTGTGAGTTGTTGGCTTTTTCTAAATAGACCTAGTAGCACCTAGGCTAGAGTGAATATTGGTTCATTTAGGAAGCATAAACAATGTCCAAAATCATAATAAATTTTATTGGTTTGTTTACAGTATCACTACCTAAAATTCAATGTCATCTTTCCTGTTATCCTCTCCATGGGATCATCAGATGTTAGACTCTTGTAGGTCCTGTGAACAGCAGACAACACTAAGGAAACTCAGTCCATTTCCAAGCTGACAGATTGCAGGTGAAAATATGTACTGCCCTATGTTTTCTCCAAATGATCAGTTAAAAAGCAGAGCCTATTTTGGAAGTTACTGGGAACACGGGATGTCCATGAAGATAAAATCAAATATGACACTATGTGCAGAACTGCATCCCCATTAATAACTTCCTCAGAATCCATTTTGAAAGTATATTTGCCATAGACATATTTAACCACTGTAACTGGAGATTTGAAAAGGACAGTAAGACCTCCAAATCCTGTATGTTTTCAGAATGATTCCATCTATTTGGGCCCAGACAGTTTTTCAAGCTCTTTTTCAAATGTAGAGAACCTAAACGTTGTTTTAAAATATTAAGAGATCGCACAATAATTCTTGGATTAGCTAGTGACACGTGGCAAACTCATTCTTGGTGGACACTACCACCCCTGTGACTACAGCTCCCTGTAGCAGCTTCACCCCTCAGTCAAGCCATTAAAAGCTTCTGTGCAAGCTGTCCTTACCATGTGGTGCCAGACAGTCCACTGATGTATGTTATACAGTCCAAGAGATTCAATTTCTTGAGCGCCTGTAGACTGCCATAGAGTCCTGTCATCGATTTCAGTCCTCCTCCTGTTGTGATGATAGCCACCACAGGGACCTGTCAGACACATGAAAACAGGACACTGAGGCAGGTAATGTTCAGTGTGGCGGCCTGGATAGACACAGTTACTGGACACTGCTCCCAGCCTGGGTCCTGACCTTGGAGCACAGGTCTTTTTTCAGAAGGGGCGGCTCAGATATGGCACAATGATTCCTACTTCTCTTTTCATAAATATAAGCCAAAGAATTAAGCCAAAACTGGGTTCTTTCCCATCTTTACTTAGGGCAAGTGAGGGCACGGAAAACGGTGATCTTCTGTGCAAGAAACACTGTGTTTTCTTGACACTTCCTAATCTTTTGTCACTTCCTTCTATTTTACACACCTACTACTACATCTGCATGCCAACCCCATGAAAAAATCTATCCAATTCACATACATTTACTAAATTATCCTCATCAAGGTTATTCCTTTTCAGTATCAGGAAACTACTTTAAAATGCCGGATATTCATTTTCAGGGGTTTCAAAATTGGAAGATAGGAAAGATATTTTAAGAAACACTCGGAGTACATTCTTTAGGATAGTAAACTCTCACAAAATGACTAAATTTGAACAACAGAAGAAATATTTATTATGTAAAATATTTAATAGACATAAAGTATTTAAGAACCAAGACAATTATAGAATAGAATGTAAGAGATCAATACACCTCAAATCTGACAGATTTTATTTTGCCCCACAAATAAGATGTGATTAGTGTTTCTTGAAATAGCAAAACTTGACAGCAGTAGCAAATGTAGTTAAGACAAATGTGCTAGCATTATTTATAAAACAGATACTTATATTTGGTCCAATCTGCTTAACATCGATCAAGGAGAGACCATGTAGACACTAGGAAAGTCAAGACCCACTCCCCAGAACACATACTTCACACGGCTGGAGGTCCTGTTGCAGGTGAAAAACATTTTTCAGAGCATTTGCTACGTATCTCTTCCTTTTCCACAGGAAATTCATCTCCTCTGAACATAAGCTAAAGCCAAACCGCATGTCCAGGTCTTCGTTGCATGAGCAATTACTAGGATAAACATACATTTTTTTAGATATTTTACATATTAACACACCCTTACTGATCACAGCACTCAGATCAAAGATAATCTACAACACTCTTCCCTTTGTGTTGATGCAACATGAGAAGGGGAACAGGAGAGAATATTGTAAGTATTTTTAAAAGCAAAAAAGCATATTTCAACTAGTGAGAATAACTTGTGGCATCACATCCCTTTATTGCTAATAGATCAAAAAAAATATGGTATTTAAAAATGAAACAAAATACTAACATGAATACTCTAAAATTAATATGTCTGTGCTTCTTTGTGCCAATATTCTAAAATATATTTGCTAATTCTCATTATATTGGAAATTCCAAAATATGTTATTTCATTCTAAACAGCTAAAACAAAAACAAAACTGCAAACGCTGGCAACTGCAGTGAGAAGGAAACGGCCAATTTTGATCAACTCTAGTGTGAAGACATCCCCCTCTAGTGGCTCAGCACCACTGCCATACTTCATCTACAGAAAAAATCTCTCATCTCTGAGGTGGGCAAACTTTCCTGGGATCAGCGTTAAGAATGAAATCAGTGATGATCAAGCCCTGAAGGGATGGGCTTTTATTACTGAATTCAGTGCAGTAGGACTTCATCTCTTGCTTGCCTTATACTTTTGTACTTGCACAAGCCTCTTCATACTTCAACTCTCGTAGTTTTCAAGAACTGTACAGAGTAAGATTGCTCAAAGGAAGATTAAATCTGCAGTTTAATAAGTCATTCATTAAATAACTCTGCTATTGTAGCCTATTTCCCTGTGCATTTGTGCTGCTCTGTGCGCTAATGTCCCATCAACCTCTTGCTACCCCGTGCCTACAAGACAGATCCCACGTCCAAGAGACCCGACGGCTTGAAGCCAGAGCTACCTGTGGGCTCCTTGACTGCCCAGCTAGCTATGACCAGGCACTGGAACGAAGCAGGATTTTTCTTTTTCTTTCAGTGACAGAAAGCCCCTTGTAGAGTCTCTAGTCTCTACTTCTGAGTCCCTAATGTCTTTGAAACTAGCTATGTTATGGGACTTCCCTTGTCAGCCAAAGGATGATAGTTCTACAGAACACTGACAGTTAGGAAAAAAATAACACTGATAATTTATTCATTGCAATTTCTGATCAAGTTCCTTGTTTATTCCTCTCCATTATGGTTTTCTATCCAAAATTTTCTCTTTTTTATGAATGTCAGAGACTGAAATTGATCAGCAATAGTATTTTCTGGTCAGAGGAGAAGGGATAATGCTAAAATAAATGCATGTTATCAGCATGTATTGACTAAGATCAAATTCTGCTAATTACAATATGCTGCATAAGCATTTTAAATTTTATTAAAAGCACATTCTAATTTTCAGGCTGAGAAATTCAGCTTGTTTCTTTTCTGTATGGCTAAGACAATGCAAAACAGGAACAGAAGAAAGATCCCTTACCAGTTTTCTGCTTTGACATTCAAGTCAAATCTTTTCTCCTGGAAAACAAAAATACAAGCTATAAATGTCTTATTTTGTTTTTAAATTTTCTTTTATCTCTTTTTGTCTGGGAGACAGAGTTTTGTTTAATTCACAGCTAGGTCTGGAAAGGACTACACCAAATGTCTGAAAACTCATTACCTGACAGTCTTGCTCATCTCTTCTGTTGACACATACAGGAGATAAATGAAGCAACATGACATGGAGGAAACAGTCACAGATATAGAGCTTCTCATTATTCAAAATCTGAGAAAATTTCAGACTATTTCTAACCCTCTTTGAAATCTTCTATAAAGATTCCCATAGAATACAATTAAGGATGTTTACAGAAGGAATGATTTTCACCTGAGTGACCGTTTATTCCTGAAGGTTAGAAGTGACACTCACCTCTGCAATTGTAGTTTTCCGTCCCATGGGCAGCGAATTCAGCATCACCACTGGGGAGCCTGTCTCTGTACTGAACTTACAGGTCCACTGGAAAAACAACAAGCTTTCTTTTACAAAGAAAAAAAAAGTTAGGGGTTAACCCTCTTCCCTCTCATGCTCTCTAGAGAGTGAGTCATGTTGAGTTCATTATTAAGACCAGTTCTAACATACAGGGTGATACTGCCTCTTCTTTGGCAACATGACATCCAGCGTTGGCTCTGCATACTTGATATAATGGAACCTGGAAGGACCTGCAGGGCTGACAACTCCTTCAGGTCCCAGTGCAATGTCCCTGGTCCCTTCAAAGGAACCTTTCACTGTAAGGGAAAGCTCTTTCTCTAAAAAAAAAAGAAAGAAAAAAAAAAGAAAGAAAAACAAAGAACGTGAGAAATGTTATTTATTTTAGCCAGAAAATTGTCCTGGCTTCATTAAAAGCTGGATTCTGATAGCACAGGGCTAGATTTTGGACCACAGCTTTATCTAATGTAAAACACTCTGAAAGGAGTGCCAGCAGTGAAAGGAAAGCAGTAAAACTGAAAAACTGAATTTATTTTAATAGAAAGGGGCCTCTACATTATTGCCATTGTATGTATAACCAAGATTTCAACTTTAATACTGTTCTATTAGACCTTACAGACAGAGAGCAGAAGGGAGTACAAGAAGTAGTCATTACAATCTATAATAAGCCTCATGCATTTGCCTGGCTCTAATTGCACTGAATAATGTAGAGACTATTTATTTTACCTATTTGTTACATGAAAAGTGCCTATGGTTAATGGTAAATAGTTTACAAAGCAATAACTTTACTTGATTTTTGTTGCTGCTTCTCAGCCACTTCGACTTCCAAACAGCAAAGTTCGCGACACTGTAACAAATGCAGAATGAGAATGTGTGGGAAAGGGTATCGCGTTCTGACCTGTTTACAGAGAGCTCTGACTACTGAGCATTCCTTTGGACATTTCCAATTGCCTAAAGCACATAATTACCTGGCATTAGTGGGCCTTTGCCTAGCAGCCACCGACTAAAGATACGGAAAAACTATAGAGGGAGCTGTAGAGCATCCTCCAGTAAAAATGACAATTTTCCCAGTATGAGAAAGATATCGTGAAAGAAAAATCAGGATAATTTTTCTGGATAATATATTATATAATAAAAATACTTTATATAATATATAAAAATGTAATACGTACCTATTAGTATATTATTATATACATACATATTTCTGCATAATAGCACAGGTAATAACCAGGAAAAACACACATGAACATAAAAGACATAAAACATAAAAAACATAAATGAAAGATGTCTATTGAGAGCTCAAGAGTCAGTAGCATAAAGCACTTCCTGACTAAGCATTGCTATTAACTTTTTTATGGTACTCAGCCCTCTTTCAGGGAATGAAATTGTGATAGGTCAATATTTAGTGCAGTGCTTACCATTACTCAAGACTCATGTCTCATGAGAGGAAAGAGATGGGTATGTTATCAGCAAGTGGTCTCACAATCTTTCTACCACTGTGTTTTGATAAATAGGAGCACCTTTTTAAAGGAGTACTGATACAAGAAAGAGCAGGGGAAGGGATTTGAAATACAGGACAAAAGCAACTAGTGGGATACCACCAATAAGCAGAGAAATAAAATACATCTTCTCAACCAGCTCAACAGGAAGGGGGAAGTAGGAGAGAAAACTGGCCTATTGAGTATCTAATAGCTTTGAGCTCCTGTAGATCCTTTTATCTCAAGACAATACTTATAGAAAATTTCTTAGGAAAAAGACACATTACCACTAGGACTCCATTGGTAGCAATGGCTTCATGAGGACCAGAACTGAAAAATGAAATGAAAACACAGCTTTTCAGATCAATCAAATGCCCAGTCATGTTTTTCCTGGATGTTTCCCTTTCTCCCCTTTTAGAAGAATGGCAGCCAGAAGGATTCCAGCAGTTATGCAGCAAGCTCCTTCTCCCATTTGCTGGAACTGAGCACTGCTATAAAGAGACTTATCCCTCCCTACACCACAGCTGAGTGAGGTGTATAATGGCTAGTTTTTTGCAGTGCAATCCCATGATTGTCTATAAGGCAACTTGCATTTAGGCAGACAAATTCTTCCCCTCAGTACAACACAGATAATGTATATCAATGACATGCTAATTTGTCATCACAATCCTGCTGGGAAGTCCAGCTGTATGTATTTGCTAGTATGCAGATGCAATCAGAGAGGCAGAGGTCAGGGGACATGAATTACACAGGGAAAAAGAATTAAAAAAAAAGCTTTCCAAATTTTCCAGCTTTTCTTTGGCTTCTAATACTGTTTTTGTATTTTTAATATTTAGTGATTTATACATTTTAATGAACATATACATCACTTACGTGGTCTCCAGCCTGAATTCAACTTCTAACTCCTCTGTGGCCTGAGAATGAGAGCAAGAAACTAAATGAAGTCACTGTGTGATGCTTTCTGCCTTGCCTGAACTGGGTAAGCAGTACAGGAGTAATGCATGTACAGTCTCTGTACAACAGTCTAAGATAAACTTTTCAGCCTGGGTAGTCTGAAGCAATACTTCAGACTAGATTCCTTCATGATCTCCTTCCTTCTACAAATTATCTTCAAAATAATCTGAACTGTTATCTCTTAGCATGAAATTGCTCTAGAAAGACAATCTGTAGCTTGTTTCCTCTTTCGAATTCTACCTTTTTTCTCTTTCGTGTTCTTGGCACTGTTCTGCCGTGAATTACTGCCCTTGCTATCAGGTTGGATGTTAAAGAGCCTTTCCGCCCACCACTTCAACGTGGAGACTACTATTACCGAGTGATTCAGAGCTACAGTTATGCAATACCCTATAAAGAGGTGTTGATATGTATGAGCTGGTTGCAAGTGACCTATTTTGGGTACAAGAAGCGATCTGCCCATGGTAGTAAGAAATTCTATGCAAGACATTTTGTGGATCAATGACATCCATTCAGCTAAAAGGTTTCCCCAAGGACTATCAAGACTTTTATCCCCATTTTATAGATGGGAAAATGGAAAGCAGAGTAAAATAGATATCCAGACCTTCGGTACAACACTAACTCAGACATGTGAATCGGCTAGAGATAGTTCATAATCAGATGCCTCCCCTCTGTACCACCTCATTTCAGCCGTATGTTCTATTTAATCATTTAGGATTTTTTTTGTAAGGGCCTCAAACTTTCAAATACAGATTCCTGACTAGGATAGCTACACTTTTCTGTTTATATTTTAAATGACAATTCAAATACCCATTACTTGGATAAAAAATCCATGGCAGATTCAAAAAGCTCAACCCAAGATTTTGAAAGCATTATATAACTTTTCATTGGCTTCTGCTCTGTCTTGTTTTAAATCCATGCCTGATCTAAATGAGAGATTCACATAGCTGCAGGATCAGTGACATATTTGAACAACTATCTCTGAGTTCAACCCCAGAAAATAAAACAAGGATACTTTGCCAAGAGAAATAACTAATACTGACTTCCAGCCTTCACGTACCTATAGCCAAAACAGACTGCTTCAAAGACGCAAAGAGTGTCAGTAAGCATAGCCAGAGACATGAAAGTAGGGCAGAGCAATGCAATACATGGGCTAGGAAACAGAAATACATTATAATTTATAGTTTAGGCTTGGAAACTCAGGTGAGTGTGCACTCTACAGCTCAACCTGTGAGATCTCATAGACACTGATCTCACAAATCTCACCTTTGGATCAGGCTTAAAACATAAGAGAACTGTTCTTTCAAGGGGAAGTTTAGCAGTATCAAAGAGCACGGAGAGGAGATGATCATCTCGAGTGGCAAAGTCCTCATCACACACAGTTAGCTCCAGCACATTCTGGGAAGAGAAGGACAAGGTTTTTACAGTTTCTGCAATCTGGAACCTGTTACTGAGTCTATAAGAGAGTCTGGGGGATGTGTGTGAGAGGTGGAGGAATTAAGTATCCCACATTGAAGAAGTGTCTTGTAAACCAAACACAGATTCTTCCCCAGTTCTGTTTAATTCCCGCAACATGAGTGATACATTCACAATATCTACATGACAGCTTAGCTAGCTCCCAGAATCTGCTTCAATCTTGCACTATTTCATAAAAGCCTCTGGTTTCCTTAAAGCTTCGGTACAGAGCTCCGTCTCTGGCTCACAGGTGACACTGGGCCAGCATCTACAACCAGAGTCCTGTCCCACCATATAAAGGGAAGCTTGCTGCTCTTTCACATAGTTTCTGTCAATCTCTGAAGAATCACTGCTGCTTAAGATCTAGGGTTTGCAGTGCTTTTTCAAGTCTGGGCCCTGTGACTATATTGCTACAAGCAATTTGAATAGCACCAGTGAACATTTCCAAGCACAGGAACTCAATCATCAGTTCTGCTCAGCTGTTTGCATAGTAACTTAAGCAATTTCTGGGCACAGTTCAAGAGACAGATGGGACCAACCATGCACAGTTCTCAGCAGGCAGGAAGCTGTGGGCAGCAGCATGGCAGTAAATGTTTAGGAGTGCAAGAAAGCCTAGTAGTCTGGCTTTTTTCATCTTCAGCCGGCCTCAGTGCCAAAGTTTGGCTAGTTTAACTTGATTTAATAACATTAATGTAGTCCCAGAAGCCAAGCAGGCAACCTTCTAACAGAAAGTGACCTAAAAATAGTGGAGATTTTATAAATATATTTGAACTATTTTCATTCATAATTGCAAAAGATAGAAAAATAATGTGTGACTGAAAATCTTCAGGCAGCTACAACAGATGGCTGCTTACCTTGACCTGGCTCTGGATTCTATAGTAGAAAGTCTCATTCCAAACTGGATTGTTGGAGTTTCTTACAGTTTTGGTGCGGGACTTCTCACATGTAGCAGTAGGCAACCACAATGTCACATAGCAATCAGCCTGGCTTACTGAATAGGAAGAGAGACAGAACAATTGTTGACGTGGCAAAGTAACTAGTGCTACATTTCTTCTCCTACTTTCCCATCACTCTTTTGTCTTAATTTTCTTCCCCATACTTTCTTCCTGACTTAGTGAGTCAAGAGGAAATCTCACTTTCAGCAGAGCTGATCTTTTTCTTTCCTTAAAGAACAAACATCCTACAGGAAGGAAAAAGGCTCCAACAGGCTCCCTTCCTGCCCTGTTGAAACACCAGATACTACCCCAATGGCGTTTGTTTCTCCTGCACTGCAGTTGTGCCACACTCAGACTGAAAGCAGGAAAAGGGATACTGTTCCATGTATGGAAGCTGGGCATAGGCAGATGGCAAAACAGGCTTCTCACACACTGTGTGGCACTGTGATTCCCAAGGACGTGCCTGTGACTTCAAGGCACCTTGTTTGCATCCCGGTCCCTTCTTACAGCCATGCTTTGCATTAACCTTTTGGAGACATACCCGGAGTATTTAGCATTCCAGTGGGCACAGATGAACAACCAACAGCATCTGCTTATTAGCAGATGATGCAGAGACACAGATGATGCATCTTGCAGCACGGTGCTAGGAGGTTGCTTGAAGCAACTTGAAGCTGCTGACTGGTAAAATCCAAATCACTGCCTGCTCAGCCTAAATGTCTCCCCAGATAGTGTCAGTCTAGCCGTCCTGGCTAGTTTATCTACCCTATACATTTTTTGCCTTGTTTATACACACAGGTATTTTCCCTAAAAGAGGAATGAAGTGCCCTGCCACACTGTGCACTCTCCTTGCTAAGGAACTGGATGTCTTCATTCCACTTAGAGTGGAGTTAAGACCTAGATTTAAGACTGTCCTCCTTCTGTCCTAAGACATCATGTTTAATTATGTATGCCTTGTCAAATTCTAGCATTCATTCTTGTGCTGGATATTTTGGGAAAGGTTCAAAGTTTATTGCTTTCCCAGAACAGAGTAAAAAAAAATAGATTTTATTCATCACTTAAAAAAAATTCTTAATCAGCTTCACTGCCAGGTTCTAGCCCGTCTGAATCTTGCTACTGAACAGGAGAAACAAAGTAAGTGTAGAGCAAAATTCACCTGATACACTCTCATTTTGGCATTCCAATGCTCGGGATCTCCCAAACACAGTTACATTCGGAGAAACATTTTTAAAAGCCCTTGCTTTCTTGAGTAAAGAAGCCCCTTGCTCTTCTTGAGTAAATTATATACACACACGCAGATCCCAGTGCCAACGAGTTCCACAACTAACTTAAATATTCTGTACATTTATTTTAATTTTCTCCTTGATAATTTCATGAGTGCTCCTTTGTACTGGAATTGTAAGAAAGACTGAAAATCACTCTTTATTCAGTGTCCCTTCTATTTATTTTTGAATAGATAGCCTCTGTTTTCTTCAGTCATTTCTCTTTTACAATTATAACCTGTAGCCTGTTTTATCTCTTGAGATATGTGAACTGTTTCATACCTGTGATAATCATTATTGCCTTTCTACAGCTTTTCTTGTTGCTTCATTATCTGAAGTATCAGAAGCTTTTGTAGTGAGCCTAGTGAATCCATCCTGGCAGTGAACTGAATTGGCCTGATTCTCTACGTCTGTGTTTTCTACTTGAATTCTCCCCTCTGCCTCTTTTTTTTCTCTTAAAAAGGGGAGGTTCCAATGCAGAGAGTAATGCTCTGAAGAATTCTGCAAAAATGGCAAAATTAAATGTTTGAAGAGCTCAGAAATAATGATAATGGTGTAAAAGTATTTTAATGCAATTTTTCTAAATGAGCTAGGTTTATCACCTAGAGATCAGTGACTACTTCACTAAGTACTCTATTCTGCTGATGTGATTTGTCATTCCTGTGTATCAAATGTACACTGCAATACAAAACATATCAAACAATCCTTAATTATATGAGTAGATGTAGTTAAACTAGTCAGCTGTGTTTAATTCAAAGTATTGCTTCAGTTCTGTTTGCACAAGCGCTTTCTACAACCCAGTGATTTTGTCTTTCCATCTGTCAGGCAGACAAGCTTAAAAGAGTCCTTGATTAAATGTTTCTGGTTTATTCCATCATTACAGAAGTGCTGCAATCATGGACAGGGAGAGAGGTGCAGGTACAGAAAAGGCAACCCTATGGCATGACCTGGGATATGGCCAGTGTATCTCTCACTCCGGGTTGTGACATAGGGAAGTCCACTGATACATCCCCCATAGAAATACGTGACAATATGGGGTAAGATGGTGTTGCACAGTAAACCTAGACTTTGATCTTTCAGGTAACACTGCTGTTCTACACTCATTGTTGCTGCCTATGCAGAACATTATATTTTAATGTTGACATTAAATCATTTCTTGGTTATCAGAGTAAGTAAAATTCTTCGTTCACATGTGAAGGACAGTGCACAGTTATGGCTTTGGTGATAGTAACATGATATTACATTTTGCTCCTCTTTAGAGAGCTTAGTTGTAGTCAGTAGGATAGATTATGTCCTAAAGGCTTCATTGAAGAATACAATAACTCACTGTAATATCTGTGGACTGAGGTTCACATCTCTTCCTGGTAGGTGCTGGCCCTCTAGCAAACTGATCTGCCTTGAAGTTGCAGGTATCCCCTGCTAGTACTGCTCTACACTACACCCTTGCACCAATGTGTTCCCTGGCTCTTGCACTGCATAGAGTATGGTGCAGATTGTTACAGTTCAAAATGAAAAAGGAAAATCAGGAAAGACTGCAAGGTTACACCATTTCCCTTCCACACTCACCCTAAAGCTAATTTCTGGATCCTTTTACTGATGGTCACATAGCTGCACTGAGTCAAAAAAAATGAACTGTTAATAGCTATATTTTCTTTCAAATGCATCTCATCACATTTCTTAGGAATAATCCATGTTCTTATTTTAACAAAATGAGAATATTTTCCTTTCCTACTCCTCATATCACTTTCCTGCTACGTGACTCATACATCTGCACAATTACAAGAATGCTACACAAGCATTGAAAGGGACAAGGATTTCAGACCTCCATGAGCATTCTTTTTGACAGTCATTCCAGGGTAATTAATAAATAATATCATTAGCCCCATGGTAATGATTTTAGAAAGTTCTTTCTTGCTCATTCTCAATACATTTTCATAGTAGTATTCAAGTAATTGAATATCAAGGGATTGGCAAGGGGCAAAAAGGTCTATTGAAGTAGAATACATTTATTGGTCTCATTCTTTTGTTTGCTGTTGGAGTTTGCTCCATCTCTCAGGTTCATTTTTGCTCTTAAGAAACTGAACTTCTTAGAGAATTTTGAAAGTATATCTAAATTCATGAATCACACCTTTTATAAGTATTTTAGGAAAAAACAAAACAAAACATACTGGTGGGTGTAGGGAGACATTCTTTTTTCATCTATACAGGCCAAAAATGTTTCTTCCTCTATATTTACACTCAAACAATATTCACTGTTAAAACCACGCAGGACATAACAAGCATTGAAATAACATTTGGTTTAAAAGCAGAAATGTAAATAAGTTTTTATAAACCTAAGACATGGATTACTTGAGAAATGCTTGCAAGAGTTTGCTATATAATTATAAAAGAAAATGCTTTAAACAAAATAAAAGAAAATGTTGCCTGTACCCTGACATACTGCTTGACTTCTTTTGAACAATATACTGTCTCCTTGCTATCCACTTATTTAACTATTTATCCTTGCAGAATTAAGTACATCCCAACTCTCAAATAATTAGTTATTAGAAAAATAATAATGTAATAGTACTAGCTATTTGGATATATTCTATGACACCACCAGCTTTGCTTTTTTTTTTTAATGTAGGGTGCTTATAATATTTTGTAATCCCCTAACCATTTTCAGGAAAATGAAACAATTGTGGGAACCATGATATACTTACAAACATCACCTCGTTGGAGATTTCTCATTCTGATGATTCTTACAGTAAGCAAGTAGCAGGGAGATGATTCTATCTGGAGAAGAACAACACGGACTATGAATTAACCTTCAGCAGAAAAAAAACATCACATGAGCAACCTCATCAAATGCTGTAAAACAATAATGCAGTCAGTAAAATTGTGTCAGCCACCTTATTGTTTTTTGGATGAAAATCTGAACAAGGCAACCTAAAAACACACTGGAAGAGTGGCTATATGGGTGAGAGAAGAGAGCTTAGTAGCCTGTGTCATCTGACCAGGAAGAGGATTTGAAAAGGACCAAGAAATATATAGAGATATTTCACATGAGCATTCTTGAAACCTCCAACAATTTGCAGTTTACGGACTTTCTAAGGTCATTGTGGTTTTGTTGCATTTGACATAAACTTCTACTGTTCTGTTTTTAGTGTTTTACTGTGTTTTACTCCAAGAGACTGGATTGATCTTTATAGCAGAAAAGAAAGGGATAAATCCATGTCAAGTGACACTGAATGCTAGATGCTTATTAACTCCTATACTCTGAAATAGTTGAGATTACCTCCAGAACATACTTACAATAAGTCTCTTGAACAGAGCAAGCACACTGACAACCACCATGATGGAATTGTCAAAATACTGGTAGTCTTACTTAAAGTTAAGATTACCTTAATAAGCATCTGTTAGGTCCCATCACATTAAAAAGAGCTCTGCTGAGAATATCTGTTGTGGCTAACAGACCTCAGATTACTGAGAGCAATAATATGAATGGAACTTTGTAGTTAATCATGAGTATGTGGTAAACTAAAATCTGAGAATTATTTCAGATAATTTAAGGACTAAGGAATTAGATATCGGATGCCTTTAGGGAGAAAAGAAAAAGAAATCCAGAAACAAAACCCTATAAAATGAAAGTGTGTGCTTTCTTTTGGCTCCTTTGAATATCTCAGCCATAACCTTCCATAAAATAAGTCTCTTCAGATTTTTT